AATATTGTGTTCCACAAGATTTTCTATATATTTTTCTATATATTGTATTCCACAAGATTTTCTATATGAAAATATTGTGTTCCATAAGATTTTCTATATGAAAATATTGTGTTCCTCAAGATTTTCTATATGAAAATATTGTGTTCCACAAGATTTTCTATATGAAAATAATGTGTTCCACAAGATTTTCTATATGAACATATTGTGTTCAACAAGATTTTCTATGGAAAATATTGTGTTCCACAATATTTTCTATATGAAAATATTGTGTTCCACAAGATATTCTATATGAAAATATTGTGTTCCACAAGATTTTCTATATGAAAATATTGTGTTCCACAAGATTTTCTATATGAAAATATTGTGTTCCACAAGATTTTCTATATGAAAATATTGTGTTCCACAAGATTTTTTATATGAAAATATTGTGTTCCACAAGATTTTCTATATGAAAATATTGTGTTCCATAAGATTTTCTATATGAAAATATTGTGTTCCACAAGATTTTCTATATGAAAATATTGTGTTACAAGATTTTCTATATGAAAATATTGTGTTTCACAAGATTTTCTATATGAAAATATTGTGTTCCACTCGATTTTCTATTTGAAAATATTGTGTCTACATAAGATTTTCGATGGAAAATATTGTGTGTCCACAAGGTTTTCTACAGAAAATATTGTGTTTCAATTATACAATGGATTACTTTGAAGTCCACAGGATTAACCAATTACTCTCAATTCGAGTTACATGGGGTGTTAGATTTTACAAAACAATTTTACCAAATATTCATAATTCATTACACCAAATATAAATAGAAACTATTCACAACCCTGCCACCCCTTTTGTTTAATGTTTTCTAAATTTACACGCACAATTTGCCTTTTTATTCTGGGGTATTTAATATTTTTTTTTGTTTGTAAATTGTTTGTTAATTTAGAACCGGAAATAAACAGAAATTTAGTTCCTCAAAGTACCGAGCGAATAAAATATTTTGTTAGATAGCAACAGAAAAATCAAACAAAACCGACCCAACGACAACATGTTCTTCGAACACAAATGGATTCTCATATAAAAAAATAATAATAATAAATGAACGGACACACAGACATACTTAACAAATAGTCTAACTAAATTAGACGTCAATTAAAATTATTTCAGGGAATAAAAATTGAAGGGAAACGTGGAGTTTTATGGGATATAATAAAATCCGAACAAATTCCACTGGGAACATTTTGTCATATAATTTTTCTAGATAATGATTTTTTGGTCCAATAAAAAATAATTATTGAAATAAATTTTGCCAGAGTATCTGTCTCTCTTTCTTTAATTTTAGCCAAAAATAATCAATGCCTGTAAATTCTCATTAAGTATCTACAAAGCCATTTGGAGACAATTTATTACCGGAAGATTGTATTAATACTATATGGCAATGAAAATTACAGGCAATACAAAAATAAAATGACGCATTCAAGATATGTGGAATAAGTATTTATACAATGGTTGGACGGATGGGTAGCCATGTCATTGTCTTCTACCATATTGAAAAGAAACAAAAAGCAGAGCAAAAGGACAAAATGTTTTTTTTTGTTTTCTAAATAATAAGATTTTTTTCGAGCTTTAGGCCATTGCATCGAGTCCCTTACATTGTATTTGGAGTTTTTGGTCAGATTTTTTTTTGTTCGAAAAGAACAGCCTGTAACTGGTCTTTTATCTGTGGGTGATATCTGAAAGATATTATATATAAAACTATTAAAGATCTTCTAGTTTTCTTTTTAGTTATGGAAGACCAGTTAAAGGTCCTATATATATTACAAAAGAGTTTTGAAAAAAAAAACTGCTGTCCATAGGAATCATTAATGGCACAACGGCCCGACAAAAAAAAAAATTCACTTTAATGTAATTTAATGAGCTTCCTTGTGTATGTACAACTCCACAAAAGCGTAGAGGTTATAGTTTTCGCATAATGGACCAAATTATATTTTACACTTTGGAATAAGGTATATTTATGTATGGGATTAAAAAAATATGGGATGAAAAAAATGGAACCAACTTCTGGCTGCTGTCATTTCTAAGCCACTCGTCCGACAGCTGTTAAAATTATTCCAGTGACAGCTTATTATATTTTTTACAGGCGTACAGAAGCATTTTGGTGAGAATTTTCCAGAAAAAAAATTATTCGTGATAGCGTGATCAAGCGTGATAGTGTGTTTTCTTTAGGTTTGGCTGGAAAACCATAAGTGGCTATCGTTAAAGCTCTCCAGCATTTAAATGTGAATAAATCTTTTGTATCTCGTACCATAGCTCGTTTCCGTGATACTGGTAGCCCCTAGCTCGACGTCAAGGAAGTGGACGGAAGAAAACAGCAACATAAGCAGAAATGGTTCGAAAAGTAAAGGAGCGACTTGATCGAAACCCGCGTCGCAGTGACCGCAAAATGGCTGGCGAGCTGAACACATCGCAATATTCCATTCGGCAAATATTAAAAAATGAGCTCGGGGTAAAGCCATTGAAATTCCAAAAAGTGCGGGGTAAAGCCATTGAAATTCCAAAAAGTGCATGAACTTACACCGCAACCGAAAGAAACTAGTCTCAAAAGAGCTAAAGAGTTGCTTCGCTTGGCCGAAAGTAGTGAACTGTCGAATTTGGTTTTCTCCGATGAGAAAACATTCGTTGTCCAGTAGTTTGTGAACAAACAAAATGATCGTGTTTACTTGCCAAAGAGGTCAGCCGGCCATGCTGATGGTATGGGCCGCCATAAAAGCTCGTATTAATCGACCGTGGCATCAGAATAAATGCCGAATATTATTGCGAAAATATTCTGGAGGGTCTATTAAAGCCTTGGGCACGCAAAAATTTTGGCCGCAGACCTTGGACATTCTAACAGGACTCAGCACCATCGCACTCAGCACGCGCCACCCAAGAATGCTTACAAAATGAGGTTCCTCGCTTCATTTTCAGCGCACAATGGTCATCAAAATCTGCGGATACCAATCCGTTAGACGATTGTGTCTGGAGTAGTTTGGAAAGCAAGGTTGGCACTACAAAAAATGTGGGCCAAAATACCGCAGAGCAACATTTAAGCAGCGTGTGACGGTTTCATTTACAGTTTGAAGGCCATAATTCGTGCCAAAGGTGACCAATTCGAATCTAAAAAAATGTAAAAATTATGGCGTTTGATTTTGTTGTAGTTTTTTTTTATCTCACCCTGTATGTATGCAATTGATGGAGCCCAAATATATCGATTTCAAATGTTTCAAACGATCCAGATGCACTTTTCAAACAAATTAGCTGCAACATTGCCATTCTATGAATGAGATCAGTATTTGCTATTTGCAGCGTTATTGAATCTACATTTGTGTTTGATATTAATTCGTAGAAAACAAATTTGGTATTTGAAGTTCGTAGAGATAATACAGCTTATGACAGAAAATTGTCTGTGCAGGTCCACGTCTTCCTATAGCCCCAATATAACGGTACCTCCCGATATTCGATATTTGGATGATTTTAGCGACATTATTCACCGGAATTGCACCAAATTTGGTATTTGAAGTTCGTAAAGGGTACTACAGCTTATGACAGAAAATTGTCTGTGCAGGTCCACGTCTTCGTATAGCGCCAATATAACGGTACCTCCCGATATTCGGTATTTTAACGATTTTAGCTACATTATTCACCGAATTTTTTCATTCAAGTTTCGCATTTGATTATTGTAATGGTTTACGACAAAAGTTGCATATGCAGGTCCACGTCGTCGTATAGACCCCAATATAACGTCCACATTCGGTATTTTTAAGATTTCAACAGAATTTTTAACGAATTTTATTTTTTTGAAAATTGCCAAAATCGTTCCAAGTGGAGGGTATTCAAAGATCGGTCCGGCCGAACTTACAGCTTTTTTACTTGTTTTGTATATTTTTTATTAAAATATAAGTTTTAATATAAAAAGAAGAATTTTTTGGCGAAATGCATTTCTGTGTACGTTCCTGTTTTGAAGGTCTCTAAACACACTTTCCAGTGAATGAATTAGAATTTTTACAGAATTCGGCATTTGACATAGTCCAAATTAAAAGGATTTTTGAGCAACTGATTTTAAAATAATTTAAAATTTTACATGGTGGAAATTATAATATGTTCGGCCAATTTTTTCTTATTTATTGTGATATATCGAAAATTGACCTAGAGTTTTTTTTTTTTTTGGTAACATTAGTTAGTTTCCGATTGTTTCCATCCTTTGCGACTTTCAGTAATGATTTCGAAATAGGAAAAATTTCCACAAATTCCAAATTTGAAAATATTTCTTTCCATTATGTCAGTGACCTCATTAAACAAAAACTAACTATCTTATCTTCACGGCTAATGGCTCTCAGTAAAAAACACTAAGGCCAAGAAATCCGGCGATGACTTGACACAATCTTTTGTTCCCCAATGTTAAATGGCTTAAAACGAAGTTAACAATTCGAAAAAAAATGTTCAAATGGACTTTCTTCCTGAAAAAAGATCAATTTGTCAGGAGATTACAATCAATAACAACAACAACCAATTTTATGTTGTGGGAGATTTGTATGGGTTTCAATGTTATTGCTTCTCTTCTTGGTATGCATTATCACCATTAATGGCATGCGGTACAGGAGACCCTTCCCCCCAAAAAATTACGTAGACACAGAACCACATGTTGATATCTATGTACATATGTATGTATTCGGGTGCGAGATAGTGGAGATAGTTTCAAAAATTAAAAAAATAACTAGACCTCAAGCTCATTGACTTCTCTTTGTCAAATAAAACACTAAAACAAAAAAGAGAGGACTGAACACAAAAAAAAAGAGAAGAGGTTGTCTGCCGTCATTTAAATTGATTTGAATTTGAAATTATAATTTTTGGTTCAAAGCAAAGCATGAAATGAAAACACGTGTTTGGAGTAATAAACATTCAGAACCATAATCCCCATAAGTTGGCATAACGTTTTTCTTTTCAAAATTTCAAATTCTCCAACTTACCTTCGTCGAAGCGACGATTTTTGACCAAATTTGCCTTTGGTTGTGACATTTTGCAGGAATTCTTTTGAAGTTTGAGGTGGGCGGGTGTTTAATTGGCTGATGAAAGTTGAGGTTTGAACTCTGACGGTAGATAGGTGGTATTTCGTTGTATTGGCCAACGAAATATTATTTCTTGGAGTCTTTGTTAAATTTTCATATTTTTGTTTTCCAAAATTATCTTCACTCAAGTAGTTGTTTGTGTTGTTTTAACAGTTAACACAAATTCATGCTTGTTTCATTTGGATTTCAGAAAAAAAAAATATTTTTTTGATACGAAAAATTTATTTTTAACACTTTGACAACAACAACAACGGCAAAAAACCGATTTTTTTTTATAAAATTTTGTTGAAATATTTTGGTTGTTCTATAACGACGAAATTCCGTAACACACGCACGTCGTCGTCGTCGTTTTTTCTTGTGGTTCAGCTCCTCATGAAAATCACAGAAAAGTGTTGTATAAAACTGATGGTTAGGCGGGCGGGTTGGTAGGGTGGGCAGAGTTGGATTGGAATTACAGCACACACAATGTTGTCGTCGTGGTAGCTGCTAAGTTGATGATATCCAGCGGCCAAAAATTTATTTTTTTTATCTGGATGAAGTCACATCAAAATGACATCGAAAAAAAAAATCACAGAATCGGTACTTCGTGGTGGTATTTTCCTCCTCAGATATAAAAAAACTCGGAGAAAAACTTTTTTCTTTGTTCAATATGCTCACAAAACAGGAAAATGAATTAAACACTACTACTACTACTAACAACACAAAAACAAAGTGCGTTCGGTATGCGTTCACACGGGTTACAACGGACCGTTGTTGGTTCTCCTTGCAGAAACGTTCTTAAACCGACTGATTTGTATCGCCAGCCAACGCAATGCTTTTATAAATGTGATCTGTGATCCGCTTACGCTGGCCGCACTCACTCGCTCACTTTAGAGTGGATGGGTTTCCCTGGCGCGTTGTGTTGGTTGGCTGGCTGGCTGATATGAAACGAGCAGCACATTCACATCTATGAGATACGCTGGCCACCACTACCAGCAAAGGAAAAAGAAACAAAACGATTTGACTGCATACAGGCCGTGTCGTGGTAATGGGTGCTGCTGCTGGCCGTTGTTACTGATTACTCGTTCACCAGTGTGGTTGTTGTTGTTGTTCCCACATGTACCCTCACTCTCACTCTTAATTTATTTGCTGGTGTTTACTGAGGGCAAACACACTCTTTTTCTGTTCTGTTTTTTTTGCTCACTTGTTGCTGCTTCTGTTGGTTGGTTGGCCGGTCGTTAGGTAGGCAAGAGAGTAAGAGTGTGTGCGCCAAGTATCTCGAAGTTGTTGATTTTTGCTGCTTCGTTCCTCGTGTCCACTGTGGTGCGTTTTCTTACATTGACGTTGTTCTTGTTTTTGCCCCAGTCGTTGGCTCTGCAACAGCCTTTCGTTGTTGCTACATTTTCATACACGAAATAATCGCGTGAATTGGTTTTATCAGTAACTTACATACACACACATACAGACAAATGCACTGGAACAGAGAGTGACAACCTTTCAAAGAGTTGAGTGCCAGCCAGCCATATGGAGACAAAATGGAATATAGCACTTCAAACAAATAAAAAATCGTAATTGTTCTGTCTAAATTATGGTTTCGTTAAAATATGCGAATTTTCTTGATTTTTCTACATGTACTGGCCATGATCTGATCCTACACCACATTGTGGTGCAGGTTATTTTGTCTCTATGGCGCGTGTTTTCTATGTGGACTAGAAGACGGGATATTTTGGAACAACTCTAGTTGGGTAAAAACTCTAGGATTCTTTCAAATTCTTTACAGAGGTGGAAAATTTTGGCTTAACTCAAGTTTAGAAAAACTTTTCAATTTTTTTTTAAATTTTTTTTCCAGTGGTGATAATTTTACTGATCCCGGGAAACTATTTTTTTGCTTGGGGACGGAACGGGACCCCAGATTTTTGACCCGAAAGTCCGGGTTTAAGACCCCGACTAGACATTATAGGTGTCGTTGGAACCGAAAAGGGTTTTTGCACACATTGTAGCATTTTTGAAAGGTACGAGTGTCAGCAATAATTATGGTTTTATTTGGTTGACCCCCATAATGGTCACTTTTTCGACTTTTTGGGGTTTTTATAAAAAATCCGAGTACAAAAATCAATAAATTGACTATAACTTCCGAACCATTTAAAAATTTCCACATCATGTGACCACTTGTTGGGTAGGTATTTTTATAAGCTATATTGTCTATATCGGGTAAGTCTTGAACCCGGACTTTCGGGTCAAAAGTCTGGTGTTCCGGGTCTGTTCCCCTAGAAAAACTAGAAGAGTTTTTACTAAACTAGAGTTGATCCGTATTTGTACCCTTATTCTGGGAAATTATTTTTTTTGTTGGGGGACGGACGGAGATATTTGACCCGAGGTCTTTTTTCAAGACATTGGTTAGACCCGGACCCACTAAGCCGATTTGGAAAACATAGGTATTCGAAAGGTAATGAAATACCTACTCCTATTTTAATGAAATTTGGAATGAGTGACTCGATTTGATCAGAAACTAATTTCACTAAATTATATTGAAAGATTTGGGTATAGCTCCCATACATATTTTCGAACCGACTTATTTTATTACATATATACCAAACACGATATGTATGTTCGGTTCCGAAGTAATTTGGAATGAGTGACGGAATTTGTAAAAAATAAATTTGCCAAATTATATTGACATCGGATCAGATTTTGATATAGCTCTCATATATATTTTCGGCCGATTTCAAATATTTGTTGCACCAAACACGATACGTATGTTCGATTCCAATGAAATTCGGCATAAAAGACTAAATTTGGTACACAAATAAGATTGCCAAATTATATTGATATTTGGATATAGCTCCCATATATATTTTCTCGGCAGATTTCTCATATTTTATGCACCAGATACGGTATGAACTTCCAGTTTCAATGAAATATGAAAGGTGTGACGGAATTTAGTGTAAAAGTAAATTTTGTTAAATTATATGGAAATCGGTTCAGATTGGAACTAGATTGTATTAAGAAGCATTGACCCACAACGCCTTCGCAATGGTATTGGTCTAAGAATAAGCAAATAAGCATAGTTGTGCGGGGTTGACCATGTGATACCCTACAACACTACAAAATGTTAGAAGTCCCCTTAGGTCCAAATCCATTTTGGAAGATTTCGATTTTGAAATTATACCCTTAGCTTTGACCAGGGACATTTGGCCAATATTTACGCACTCCATCGTGCTGTTAGTTGATGTGGTAAATTTTACAGCTATGAATAATCTATTGGACAACCAAAATACTAGACTCATGCAAAATTCCGTTTCCATTGGTTTCAATTGTGTGATCAGGAAAATTTTTCTGTTTTTGGTTCATTTGAACCCCTAAATATATTGCGAACATATTTAAAAACAATAGTCCCAATCCTTCTGAGCGTAACCCAACCCTTATAAAAATGTTCGAGAGGATCGGACGATAATTGTAATTTGTATAAAATCTATATTTCAATATTATAAGTCAAATTGAAAAAATCGCATGCGATAAAGAATAAAAAATTGTCACAAAATACTACTTTCTTTTAATGCGATATTTTATATTTTATACTTTAATGCCAAGAGGGCATTCTGAAAATTTGTATATACACATTGCATATATTTCGCTATATATATCCGATATATTTTCTATCGGCATCGACGTAACGGTCAGAATTGAGCTGTTCGTCTATTTGTGATTTCGCCGGGATTAAAAATATGCGCGGTTTAATGGAAAATTTGACTTTTATTTAACACAAATATTATGGTATATTTCACCCACTAAATATTACCCGACGACCATCAAAATTAGAAGGCTTCCGCCCAGTCCGCGTCGATTTATTAAACACAAATGTTATGGTCTATTTCACCCACTAAATATTACCCGACGACCATCAAAATTAGAAGGCTTCCGCCCAGTTCTAAGTTCTAGCCCCATGTTAACATCCGCCTAAGGAAAAACTGCAAAATTAGGAAATTTTTCAGTTTTTGGTTTATTACAACTCCTAAATATTATGCGATCATCCCCAAAAGCAATAGGCTTCTATTCTGGCCCTATCGTGAAGATCGGACCATAATTGCGACCTGTAGAGTGATTACAGATTAACATTCGTAGCAAAATAGATCTTAAATCGTCAATATATAGAGGGGCAACACCAATACTTAATCACATTACCAATCTGCCCATTAAATACCTATTTACCGAATTTCAAACAATTCAGTTACTTAAAGCGGCAAAATATGAAATATCGGGAAGTACTGTTACATGGTGCCTACAGGAAAATATAGACGATATAGACAATAAGGTCGAGGCCAATTTTAATGGCATCATTAGAAGACCGAATATCTTCTTATTTATTGACATTTGGTGGCAGTTTGTTAAGTTTTTACTCCCTATAAAATATGTGGTACAGTATGTTAACAAAGGGACATTTTGTCCGATTAACCTCTATATGGATACTTATTTCACATACATTGTGAAATGAAAAAATGCAACCAATTTCAGACTGATGTCATTTCTAAGCCACTCGACAGACAGCTGTTAATATTAATCCAGTGACATCTCATTATATTGTTTACAAACTTACAAAAGCATTTTGGTGAGAATTTTCCAGAAAACAAGTTATTCGTGAGGGAGTTCAAGCGTGATTTCTTTATATTTGGCTGGAAAACCACAAGTGGCTACCGTTAGAGCACTCCAGCATTTAAATGTGACACATATATGCAATGCAATTGGCAGGGATCGAGAGGTTCATAAAGAAGCCTTCAAATCCAAATTGAATGGTATTTAGACTTTAAATATTGTCCGCGAACATCGTCCATTATCCACTACAGAAGAAGAACAACTAGTACTAGAGTAATTTTTGGCCCACTTTGATGAAAATAGAGCTACAAAATTATCTAAATGAAAACAGTACACAAAATGGTTCTAAGATCAATTCTACAATATTTAGCAAGCAACTATTTTTTTAAACTCAATTGAGTGTTACAGTTCAATGGGAGCTATGGACTTAGAAGCATTCCACTCTATGCAACGTTAAACAATGTGACTTTCAAAGATTTATGTTTGTGCAGGTCGGACAACCCTTCTGAAGGAAAAAAACAAATAAATAAAAGAGTGGTAACAGCATGTGTAAGAGAGTGTCATAACTAAACACAAACTCATTTGTCTATAGTTTACAACACCAATAAACTATGTAATTCCCAAATAGAGCTAAACAGATGGAAAACACCAGAGACACTGGTGTCGTCCACTAGACGACACATGAACATTCCACAAAAAGCCGGCTAAAGACACATAAAATAAATGTTTGAAGGAAAATTTTAAGAGAAAATATAAATTATCTCAGAGATTTTTGGGTCACACGAAAGAGAAATAAAAAAGTACAATCTATGTACATATAAAAGAGTAGTAAAATAACTGATTGACTGATCGAGACTCAATGCCCAGTCGAAACGGCGAGCTCAAAAGAGCTAAAGCGTTGCGACGCTTGGCCGAAAGTGGTGAACTGCCGAATTTGGTTTTCTCCGATGAGAAAACATTCGTTGTTCAGCAGTTTGTAAACAAACAAAATGATCGTGTTTACTTGCCAAAGAGGTCAGCTGTAAATGTACACCTTCTGTTGGCCACCAGAACTCAAGCTCCGCCCATGGTGATGGTGTGGGCCGCCATAACAGCCGCTCTCCGCTCGTATTAATCGACCGTGGCATCAGAATAAATGGCGAATATTATCGCGAAAATATTGCGAAGAATGTATTAAAGCCCTGGGCACGCAAACATTTTAGCCACAGACCTTGGACATTCTAATAGGACTAAGCACCATCGCACTCAGCACGCGCCACCCAAAAATGCTTACAAAATGAGGTTCCTCGCTTCATTTTCAG